CACGCGGGCTCGCTCCCGCCGAGCCCCTCCCGCCGCCGAGGGCTGCGGCCTGACGCGCCGCTTTGCCTGACCAGGTCAGTTGGAGTCCTGACAGCACCCACCTGCTCTCCGCCTCCGGAGACAAAACCTCTAAGATCTGGGACGTCAACGTGAACTCGGTGGTCAGCACGTTTCCCATGGGCTCCAACGTGCTGGACCAGCAGCTGGGCTGCCTGTGGCAGAAGGACCACCTGCTCAGCGTCTCGCTGTCCGGGTACATCAACTACCTGGACAGGAACAACCCCAGCAAGCCCCTGCGCGTCATCAAGGTGAGGCTGCCGGGCGGGCAGGTGGGTGCCCGACTGGGCTGAGGCCAGCGCGGCTGGGCCCTGGGGGAGCTGGCGGGGCCCAGGGCGGAGTTCCAGGGCCGGGAGGGGCTGCGGGGGGGCTCACCCTGCGCCCCACTGTCTCCTCAGGGCCACAGCAAGTCCATCCAGTGCCTGACGGTGCACAGAAACGGCGGCAAGTCCTACATCTACTCTGGGAGCCACGACGGGCACATCAATATCCTTCCGTGCTCGGGGCCCACTGTGGCCCGAGGCTCGCTGCTCCTGCCCAGGCAGCAGAATCGCTTCGTGTTGGAGTCCGAGGGCGCGCGGAACTGGCAGCTGAGCCCTGGTTGTCACAGGGCAGGGCGGGCTCAGGTCGCCAGAGTGCCTGCCCCACGTTGTGAGGCCGGGGCCGGGCCGCCTGGCTCCCTTCCGAGCTGGGCCCTGGAGGTGCGTGGAGCAGCCTGTGAGCCCACTCTGTGTCTGGGGCCTGTGCCCCCCTCCCGGGACTGTCGGAAATGTGGGCCAGCCCTCCGGGGGAGGAGGCTCAGGCTCACGAGAGCCCCCAGAACCCCAGGCCTGGGGCCTGTGCAGACGGCTCTGCTGAGGCCCTGCTGAGCGTGTCCAGTGCAGCACGACTCCCCCTCCCCCCAGCTGGCAGGCTGCCCTGGGGGCTCCACAGCCCCCAGAAACCACTAGAACCAGTTTCTGGAGCAACACCCCCAGCACATTGCCCCTTCTCCTCCACTTGTCCCCACTTTGCTGTCAGCCCCCCACGACCTTCAGCTGTGGTGCCCACAGGTATACCAACCCCTGGACCCACAGCCCCCCTTGGAGAGGAGGTTGTCGAGGAAGAATCTGGGCTTCCGACTGGACGTGACCAGGAGGCCCCCAGGCTGGGGCTCCCTGTCCCGCCCGCTCCCCGGGCTTTTCCTTGACCCGCCCACATTACTGGGACTCGGAGACGGGGGAGAACGACTCCTTCGCAGGGAAGGGCCACACCAACCAGGTGTCCAGGATGACCGTGGATGAGTCGGGGCAGCTGGTGAGCTGCAGCATGGACGACACGGTGCGCTACACCAGCCTGGTGCTGAGGGACTACAGGTGAGGTGCGCCCCATCTGGCTGAGGCGGCCGGCGCCCCGCACTTCAGGACGGCCAAGGCCCAGGCCTCTGGGGGAGGCCCCACCCTCGGCTGTGGCGACCCCGGCCTGGCCCGGCCCCCCTCCACACCCGGGGCCCCGCCCCTGCTCTCGGCTCCGCCCAGACCCGGCCTGGCCCGGCCCCCCTCCACACCCGGGGCCCCGCCCCTGCTCTCGGCTCCGCCCAGACCCGGCCTGGCCCGGCCCCCTGACACTGTCTCCGGGCCGCTCGCCTCCGGGGCCTGGCAGCCGGCGGAGCCCCGGGTCTGCCCTGTGCGCACAGCTGTCCGCGCCGCGCCCTCGGGTCGCCCGGCTGGGCGGGGGCTGGCGGGTGCGTGCCACGGGCAGGACCAGCGGCTCCTCGGGCCCGATCTCGAGCCGGTCCTGAGCCGCACAGCGCGCCACAGCTCCCCACGTGGCCTGGCTGCGGTGGGCGGCCACGCCACACAATCCCGACGCGTCCCCTCTCTCTGACAGCGGTCAGGGGGTCGTGAAGCTGGACGTCCAGCCCAAGTGTGTGGCCGTGGGCCCCGGAGGGTACACCGTGGTCGTGTGCATCGGGCAGGTAGGCTCTGTGGGCGGCGGCGGGCGTCCCGGCTGTGCTGTCCCCACGCCCCCCGGCAGCCGCGCCAGCGGTGGCTTCTGCGAGCTCCTTGTGCGCTCGGAGCCGCCCTCGGCCGCCCCTCGCCGGGCGCAGGTGCCCCTTAGACGGGAGGCAGCAGCGCCGGGAGAGCCCCGTCGCCGGCAAGCGGGCTGGTCTGTCGCCCGGCCCGGCAGCCTGGGGCTGCGGCTCAGGCACGGCCCTGCCCTCGCTGCGCTGCGTCCTCGTCCCTCGCAGCCCACGGAGGGTCATGAGCGTGTGCCGGGCTGCCCGCACTGTCTCGAGCGAGGCGCCGGGGCCACCTGGGACAGGGAGCTGGGCCCGTCCGAAGCCTGGGGTCTCCAGCCAGACGCGTGGCCCGCTCTGCCTCCCTGGGGGCGCCCCGACCGAGACCCAGAATTCCCTCGCAGGCGTCCTGTCAGCAGGCCTGGGCTCCCGGCCTGCCGACGGGGAGGGCGGGCTTCCCCAGCCCCCGCTGGGCAGGAGGCAGCGCCCAGGGGCAGGCTGCCACTCAGGGCCCACCGCGCACATGCCTCGCGCGCAGGCTGCCGCCTCGGGGCTGCTCGTTTCTGCGTCTGGGTCTCCAGGCGCGCTGCCCAGCCGTGTCTGACATCCCCGTGGTCGGGGCCGCAAAGGGCCAGGCGGCTTGGCACGGGAGGACGAGGGCCGGGCCGGGGTCCGTGCGCCCAGGCCCGGCTCTCTGGGGCAGCCCGTGTGGCGCGAGGCTCCGGGAGCTTGCAGAGCGGCTGGCAGAGGCCCTCTGGGGGCCTGTGGTGGTGACGACAGCCCATGTTGTCGCACTCCTGCCCTGCTGACCACTGCGCGGGGTGGCAGACTCAGGGCCCCGGCCCCGCCCACCCCAGCCTCGGGGCAGCAGCCACGGGGAGCTGCGGCTCTCACGGCCCGATCGTGTCCCGTAGCTCGTGCTGCTCAAGGACCAGAAGAAGTGCTTCAGCATCGACAACCCCGGCTACGAGCCTGAGGTCGTGGCGGTGCACCCCAGCGGGGACACGGTGGCTGTCGGGGGCTCGGTAAGGCGCCTCCCCACGCCCAGCCCGGGAGCTCTGGGTGGCTGGGTGACGTGCCCGTCTCGGGGTGGCCGGTAAGCGGGGGAGCGGCCCTCGGTGACCTGCAGCTCCCCCAGCCCCCGAGCTGGTGCGGCAGCTGGCCCAGGGGGGAAGGCTCTCTGCGGCCAGCACATCCTGGAGCGCGTGGAGGGAGGGAGGGCCTTTGCTTCGGGTCCCCCGTGAGAGGTGGGGGAGCAGAGGGGTGCCCCTGAGCTGGCCCGAGAGGCGCAGGGGAAGCGCCAGGGCCCTGCTGGGCGCGGATGTGGTGGGGCTGCGGCCTCACGCCGGGCACACGGGGCGGGGGTGCGGCTCCCCAGCTGAGAAGCCGCGCGCGGCCGCAGGGCCAGGCCCCCCCGCGGGGAGAGCTGGGGGCCTGCGTGTGCGCTGACCCCTGCACCGGCCCCGCAGGATGGGAACGTCCGCCTCTACTCCATCCTGGGCACCACGCTGAAGGACGAGGGCAAGCTGCTGGAGGCCAAGGGCCCCGTGACCGACCTGGCCTTCTCCCACGACGGCGCCTTCCTCGCCGTGTGTGACGCCAGCAAAGTGGTCACGGTCTTCAGCGTCGCTGACGGCTACTCGGTGAGCGAGCCGCCTGTCCCCTCCCGCCGCCGCCCACAGGCTGGAGGCCGGGGCTCCCTGCTCGGGTGGCAGGGCCAGGCCTGTGGAGACGGACGCTGGGCAGCCTGGCCAGGCGGCGCCGCCACTGGGCCGAGCTCTCGCCCAGGGTTCTCCTCTTGCCCGCTCGGGGAAGACCCTCTGTGGTTCCGGTCGTCCAGACGCTGCCCTGTGCGGGGAACAGGGAGACCCAGGAGCTGCCTGTATCCGGCAGAGTGGGGGTGAGCGGGTCCAGGCGGCGAGCACTGCCAGCCCTTCTCACGGCAGGGCGCGGTCTGAGAGCCACTGGGTGTGAGCAGCTGGTAGGGGCAGGGGCGCAGGCTCGCCCGGTCCAGCCCTCCCGGGTCCCCAGTTCTCAGCGGATTTGAAACCCGCAGCAGAGTTGGGAGAACCTTACGGCCAGCTCCGGCCCCCCACGCCAGAGTCACTCAGTCGTTGCTTAGCTTTCTGTAAGTTTCACACACAGCAGAGGCCCCCGTGGACGAGACCACGCTTCGCGGCGTGTCCCCGGGCACCCCACGTCAGGGCCTTCGTTGCATGTAGCCGTGGCCTTGTCGAGGACACGCTACGTCG